TAAATCTCAAATATTTGATTTTTAGGCTCCAACAAACATATTCTAAACTAAATAATCATTCACCCATGGATTTCTCACATTTCCACCAAATTCTGAGATTTTCGGCCAAACCCAAAATGTGGAAGAAATATATGGTAAAATAAAAAATTTTCGAAGAAAAGACGAAGATCTTACCCAAAGATGTTGAAATCTAGAGTTTGAAGTCTTATCTCCAAGTAAATCAAGCACAAATCCAAGCCCTAAGGGAGAAAAATGCAAAATAATGGAGGAAGAAGATGAACTAAGGTAAAAAATGGCGTCAACCGGTGGTTCGAGCCCTAAAACCTGCTCTCAGTTTGGTTCGGCGCTATAGCGCCATTTAAACACATCCAGAAATTTATGATTTTTTATATCATGACAAAGAACAAAAAATCTAAGATGTTTAAAATCTTTTATATCATGACAAAGAACAAAAAATCTAAGATGTTTAAAGTCTAATTTTCCAGTTTTAATGGTCATTTTTGGTTCGACGTCATTCTAAAGTCTAACATTCAAATACCCAATCCATCATTTCAAACATATAAAGTATTCATTTTTTCAACAACACATAACATGTTTTCTTATATTAATAATATGTTTAATACAAATGACACAACACAGTCATAGATATATACCAATACAATAAAAAGACAACATCCAAAAGTTCTAAAGCCTTAACAAAGACAACATCGGCACACTATACAGAAGAACTAGTTAGTAAGATATTTATCTTTCTATGGAATCACTTAAGACCAGTTATGAAAAATGTAGCCACCCTTCTATTCACCCTCCAAGAAGTTACGATCATAAACATGATAGAAAGGCACACGAAGAAATTCCAACTTTAACTTATCATCAATCCACTTGTTGGTGTTATACATAGTAACTTGATACTCTTGAAAACTTGTCAAATTATTGAATTGGAGTTTTAATTGTCAATCAAAATTCTCAAACAGATGGAACAAGTTTTCATACTTGGTATATAGTTGAGAGATCTCACCTTCAATCTTCCCAAGTTTGTTCATTAGTCGTTCCAAACTCAATGCAAGAAATCTGTTGAAATAAGTCTGAGTATCCTTATGTATCATCTTCTCATCTTCAAATCTCCCATTGTCATTGCTCTCCATAATCTCTCTAAGTTAGAAACCACTTTTCTACTCTCATATCTCTCCAAATTACTTAGAAAAGTTGAAGGGATGCTTCCATTCCAGTCCTAGGTTGTTTTATAGAGAAAAAGAGGGCAAAAAACATAACTTTGGCAGTTTAAATTAAGTTACTCGAACTGGCCAACTTTCTCAAAATCTGATTTTTTTTTGTCTCATCTTCAATTTCATTAATATATGTAAGACTCCAAATAACTTCGAATCTTCATTACAACAACAATCAACAAACAATTCAGTCACGCTGATAACTATGAGTTGCCTCCCAACAATATTCAAGGTTTTAATCTGGTTGACTCAACATTGTGATCTCCTCAAATGTAGCACTATCTCCACTTATAGAAGCTTTTAACCTATGTCCATTTACCTTAATTATCTTTCCCATCTTAGGATCTTAAATATCAACAGCTATATTTGGAAAAACTCTTACCTCAACAAATGGTCATGACCACCTGAACTTAAGTTTTCCTGGAAATAATTTCAATCTTGAATTATATAATAAAACTTCTTGTCCATGCTCAAATGTTTTTCAAAATTCTTTGATCTTGCCTCATTTTTATTTTCTCCTTATAAATTCTTGCATTCTCATAAGATTCATTTCTCATCTTGTCAAGCTCATTTAAGCTCATTTAATTGCAATAATCGCATTTAATTGCAATAATCGTTTCTCTCCAGCATCTTTCAGATTATAATTAAACTCTCTAATAACCTAATATGCTTTATACTCTAATTCAACAGGCAAATGCAAGTTTTCTCATATATGAGACTACATGGCAACATTACTATAGGAGTTTTGTAAGTAGTCATATAAGCTCATAATGCAGAATCAAGTCTAACAGACCAATCTCTCCTATTAGAATTTACAATCTTTTCCAATATTATTTTAATTTATTGATTGGATACATTTGCCAAATAGTCTGAGTGTGATAAGTTGTGACAATTCGATGTTTGATTCCATATTTTTGACTTAATGTTTCAATTATTATATTCTTAAAAGGACTTCCCTCATCTGTATAATTACTCTTAGCATTCCAAATCTGGTAAAAAAAACTTGCCTCAAAAATTTTTGGAACATTTTTAGCATCACAGCGAGGTAAAGCAATTGCTTTAATGAATTTTGAAACATAATCCACAGCTATTAAAATATATACCTTTCCAAAAGATGGTATAAAAGGTCCTATAAAATCTAAACCCCAAATATAAAAAATTTCAACTTCAAGAGTACAATTTAGGGCATTCCATTTCTTCTAGAAATATTTTCTACTCTTTGACATCTATCACATATTTTTATATAATGATTAACATCTATAAATAGTCTAGGTCAATAAAATTCAGATTGCAAAATTTTAAATGCAGTTTTATTAAACCCAAAATCTAATTTATGACATTTTTTGTATTTTTTTTTAGGTTTCTTCAATTGGTACACGTCTTCGAATAATTAAGTCTTTACATTGTTTATATAAATAAGGGTCATCCCAAAAATAATATTTAGCATCATTAATGAACTTTTTAGTTTGATGACTATTTAGTCCATAGGGTAAAATGTTCCTAACTAAATAGTTCACTATATATGCATACCACAAAACTCAATATTCATTAATTCCATATAATTGCTCATCATGAAAATTTTCATTATTTTTTTCATAAAATCATCATTTTCTTTTTCAAGCTTTAACAAATGATCAGTTATTTGATTATCAGCACCCTTCTTATCCACAACTTGAAAATTAAACGCTTGCATTAGAATGACCCATCTAATTAATTGTGGTTTTACATCCTTCTTATCATTAAATACTTTATAGCAAATGATTAGTATGCAAAATACATTTGGTTCCAATATGATAAGGTCTAAATTTATCAAAAGCATATGCTATAGCTAATAATTCATTTTCAGTAGTGGTATAATTAATTTGAGCTTCATTAAGGGTTTTACTAGCATAGTATATTAGTTTAAAAATGTTATCATATATTTGCCCTAAAACAACAACAATAGCATATGCACTAGTATCACACATTAATTCAAAAGGTTTTGTCCAATTAGGTGAAATAATAATAGGTGCAGTCACTAATTTTTCTTTTAATAAATTACAAGCATTAAGACATTCCTCATTAAAATCAAAATTAGCATCTTTTTTCCAAAAGTTGACATAAAGGCTTGGAAATTTTAGAAAAGTCTATAACATAGCGTCTATAGAACCAGTATGTACCAGAAAACATCTAATTCTTCTAACATTAGTAGGGGTGGTAATTCAACAATGACTTGAATATTTGTTAGATCTACTTCCATGCATTTCTCAGAAATCTTATGTCCCAACATAATTCCTCCTGTAACCATAAATTGACATTTTAAGAACAAAGTTTGTTTCTTCACAACATTTTAGAAGCTTTGTCAAGTGATCTAAGCATGAACTGAAAAATCATCCATAAAAACTTCTATTCATTTCTCAATTAAATCACAAAAAATTGACATCATACATCTTCGAAATGTTGCAGGTGCATTACATAATCCAAATGACATTCTCTCAAAAGCAAATGTTCCATAAGGACTAGCAAAAGTTGTTTTCTCTTGATCCTCAGAAACAATATGTATTTGGTGGTATCCAGGATATCCATCCAAAAAGCAAAAATAATTGTGCTCAGCTAGTCTATAGAGCATTTGATCTAGAATCGAGCATCACAATCCACTTCTCCTTATTCACTCCATAGTCAGAAGCAATCCACAGAGCAAGTCCTTTGATGGTCCGATGCATCCTCATCTCGCTCTCAACATCGCCAGGAGTCAACAAGCTTGCACCTTTCAAGGTGTTAATAACATGGCAGCCATGAGAGTAGACTGCACTGATATCAACCTCAGAGCGGTGTGCTCTTGCAAAGGAAAGATCCAGCTTGACAGCCTTACAACTCTTCAAAGCCTTGACTTGCCTACCTAAACAAATCGCAAGCGCTCTACTACTTTTGCAAGCAGAGCTCTCTGGGCAAATCACCGTCGTCTTGTCATAGAATCTCAAAGCCTCTTCAAACTGCCCTATACTGCACACTTCATTTCCAACTCTCCTTACCACATCAGGATCCACACTCACAATCGCTCTCCTCGTCACTGAATCCCAGCCTCTTCTCGTGAACGCCTCGCCGTCTTGCATGGCAGTACAACAACTGCCTTTTCCTCCACGCATTATGCTCCCATGCCTGGCAGGAAGAACATTGGTCATGACGAGCTCGCCAGATTGGTGAAGTCATAAGGCCATCAGAAGGGAGATGCGAGATTGATTGGGCTGCACATGAGGAATGCCAGTATTGGGGCAGCTACTTGGAGGGATAGATGTGAGAAAAATGGGGAGTTTGCTGGAGGAGAAGAAGTTCGCACGGGATAAACTGGAAAAGACCGGAGGCTGACAGAGTGGTATACTTGTGTGTTGTGTGCGAAGGTTTTAGAAGGTAGGTTAGTAAGTTTTAGATGTCAGAGGGTAAATTCGATTGTTTGCTGTCGTATGTTTGCAAATCACTGTTTTTATTCATTAGCAGAATTTCCTCATTTATGACAAAGTCAATAAAAATGAAGTCCGCTTCCCCAAAATTCAAGATCCCACTACTTCCCACACGGCTAAACATAAGCTGGCAGGCAGAGAAAGCATCAAGGAAGCTCCTTCCACTCCTAAAAAAAAAATTTATCCAGACGCCCAATTATAAGCTGAACTCAAAAAAAAAAAAACCTTCCAAGTTCCAATTTTTCTCCAACCATCAATCACTTGACATATGTTTGCAAATCACTGTTTTTATTCATTAGCAGAATTTCCTCATTTATGACAAAGTCAATAAAAATGAAGTCCGCTTCCCCAAAATTCAAGATCCCACTACTTCCCACACGGCTAAACATAAGCTGGCAGGCAGAGAAAGCATCAAGGAAGCTCCTTCCACTCCTAGAAAAAAAAATTTATCCAGACGCCCAATTACAAGCTGAACTCAAAAAAAAAAATACCTTCCAAGTTCCAAATTTTCTCCAACCATCAATCACTTGACACAACAAAAAAGCCACTCCCAATCTTTCTCCCACCAAGTCGCGACCCATGGGTAAGAAAGTCCTCGTCCGAAGCAGCAGAACCCTTCCCCTCACTCCCCCCACCTCCATCCCTCCCCCTCCTCTCAATTCCCCTTCCTCTATCAAAAACCTCAACTTCATCGGAATCCAACCCAACCTGAACACCATCCTTCACAGCCTCAAATCCGGAGACTCTCTCATCGGAATCTGGGGCCCCGGCGGCGTCGGCAAAACCACTCTCCTTCGCTCCATCCACACCACTCTGTACGCCGAAGCTCGCACCAGCTCTGCAACCTTCGATTTCATTATCTTCTCCGAAGCTTCTCTAACCTACAATCCCGAATCGGTACAGCGCCACATCGCTTCCCACCTCGGCCTAAAACTCCCACCTTTCGCGTCCTCAAAAGACATAACCCAATCCATCTTCAACTGCCTGAAAAGACGAAGCTTCCTCCTCCTTCTCGACGATCTGTGGGATGCCGTTGACCTAACACTGCTCGGCATCCCCGAACCCGCAGCCGCGCCGCTTTACCGCGCCGTTGTTAAAGACATAACCCAATCCATCTTCAACTGCCTGAAACGACGCAGCTTCCTCCTCCTTCTCGACGATCTGTGGGATGTCGTTGACCTAACACTGCTCGGCATCCCTGAACCCGCAGCCGCGCCGCTTTACCGCGCCGTTGTGTTTACGACTCGTTATAAGGAAGTATGTAATAGAATGGGTCGTAACTGCCGTCTTGTCCGCCTCGATTGCTTGGCCAGCGATGATGCGTTTGCTTTGTTTTCTGAGAAAGTTGGACTCGAAACCCTAAATTCAGATCACCGAATAAGAAAAATTGCGGAAGAAATCATCAACGATTACTGTCAAAGACTGCCGCTTGCTCTTACGGCCACTGGTGCAGCGCTGTCATCGAAGAAGACTTATGAAGAATGGGTCGTAGCGGACAGAAATTTGAAGAAATCGTCTGCAAATTTTCCAGGCATGGGCAAGTCATTTTTCCCCCTTTTAAAGCTTAGTTATGATAATTTAGACGATGGAGCGAAAAGGTGCTTCCTTTCTTGCGCTCTGTGGCCGGAAAACTACAGCATTTGCAGCGAAGAGCTTATTGAATGTTGGATGGGACTTGGATTCATCAACGAGGTTGATATCAGTGCAGCCTACTCTCATGGCTGCCATGTTATTAACACCTTGAAAGGTGCAAGCTTGCTGACTCCTGGCGATGTTGAGAGTGAAGTGAGGATGCCTCAGACCATCAGCGGACTTGCTCTGTGGATTGCTTCTGACTATGGAGTGAACAGGGAGAAGTGGATTGTGACCCTGGATTCTTCTCTGAAAACCGGGCATCATCATTTCAATTGGAGCAATGCTGAGAGTGTTTCTTTCATGTATAATGACATTGAAGCAGTTCCTTTGCCGGCAAAATGTGAAGGGCTGACAACACTGATACTGAAGGGGAATATGTCATTGACAAGCATTCCTCCAGGATTCTTTGCTCGGATGCCTGCTCTCACCTACTTGGATTTATCGAATACTGGGATTGCTGCTGACATTCGTAGGCTCACGAAGCTCAAATACCTCAATTTAAGTCATACAAGATTGAATTCATTACCTATGGATGTTGAACATTTTAAAGAATTGGAGTATTTGCTGCTTTACAGAACTCTGAATCTGAAGCCAATACCTAGGAAGGTGCTCTTAGGACTTTCGAAGCTTCGGGTGCTTGATCTTTCAGCCAGTGGCAATGGGTATGATTTGGATATCAGGAACGGCGGTTCTAGCAGTAGTCAAGGATGTAGATCTGCTGCTGATATCCTGGACTTGGAGTGCTTTGGCAGGGACAAGAACCGCAAATCAGCATTGGCCCTAGGTATCATGGTAGTATCAGTTAAGGCTGTAGGCAGGCTATCCAAGCTTTCTGGTGTATGCACAAGACGGCTATGTATGAACAATCTTGAGGGATTCCAAGGAACCCTTGATCTGCTCTCCCCAGACTTGCTTGGAACCACCAATGGAAGGATTGGGAAGAGGCTCAGGGAGCTGACCATCATGAACTGTGACAGATTGGTGAAGCTTATGATGGTCGATACTTCTCGTGAACCGGCGGTGAAGAGGACTGCAGCAGCACATGGCCCCTGTCTTCTGAGTCTTGAGATTCTGCAGTTCTTGGAGCTGAGAAGAATGAAAGAGATAAGTTGGAGAGGAGTCACAGCCGAAGACTTGCTTCCAAGCCTTAGAGAGTTAACAATATACAAATGTGATGAACTGAAGAATGTTAGCTGGGTGCTAAAGCTGCCATCTTTGGAGTACTTGCAGCTACAAGAATGTGCTGGGATGGAAGACGTGATTGGAAATGAAGCAAATGCAATCAAAATGGCCGAACAGGCATTTCCTAAACTGAAAGGAATGATTTTGGATGAACTTCCATGCTTGCGTAAAATTTGTAGCCAAACATTGTGTTTCCCTGCATTGGAATCTCTGCAGGTTTCTGGGTGCCTAAAGCTGGTAAAACTTCCCTTTGGCCCTGAGATAAGAAGCAGCAAGCTGAAGAAAATTCAATGTGAGAAGATGTGGTGGGAATGTTTGCAGTGGGAGGATAAGAGCATCAAGAGACAGCTGCTTGACTTCTGCTTCTTTATTCCACCTCGAGCGCCATTAACTACTCTTCCTTCTCGACGGTCTGAGCCAGTTGAGGAGAGGAATGGCTCATTGGGTTCTTTCTACCGTGCAGTGCTTTTGCCTCTATCACTGCCTCTTTTTTTGTTGCCTTTGAGCACGGTGTTACCTTCTTCAGTTTTGTTGATATGCGTGTTTCTCCTCTTTGTGGCAAGATGGGGACTTTTGCAGAGGTAGCGGAAGGATGAAACGTAGAGTTGAAGCAGCAGGA